TTTTATAAAAAGAAAGATATTAAGTATTTATTAACAAAAATCATGGTAAACATTATAAATGAACAACAACAAGCAAAAAAAGAATAATTTATATTCACTTTTGGAATAAAAATCATTAGTATGAAGATTTATATAGGCAATGCAAGAAACATCTGAATAAGATAATTTCCCATGTTAGAATGATAATGTGAAGCTAGAGATCGAACAAGAATTAATTAAAGCAAAAATAAAATCTCCATTAATTGCTGGATAAATGAATGGGATATTTGCGATGGAAGTGACTGGCACTCTAATTCTGATTCTTCTGAGGGAGTTCGATTTGTTTTCTTTTCTAATCACTTTATCTTTTTTCTAATTTGCTCTCTCTCTCTCTCTCTCATTGTAAATTCCTGACTGGTTAATTCTCTTGATAGTGTTACCGGAATTAGATTTGACGCAGATCTTTTGGTCGAATCTCTTAATTCCGGGACAATTTAAATTTTATTTTTATTTCTATTTTTATTTTTATTTTTATTATTATTATTTATTTTTATTTTTAGTTTATTTTTATTTTATTATTTCTATTTTTATTTATCAATAACGTGTATAATTATTTATTATCATCTGAATTCGTGTTACGTTTCGTTATTATTATTATTAATCAATCCGTAGCACGTTCATATTTATTAACTTTATTTAGTAGAGATTAATGAAGATTCTCCCGGAACGGGCGGAATCGCTCAAAACGTGCGGATTCGCCCAAGTACAAAGTGAGCGAAAACGCGCAATTTGAGCGGATTCGCCCAAATCGAGCGGATTCGCGCAATTCGGGCTAATATGTAAATGAACATGTATATAAAGAACTTGATTTCGACCTAATGTAAAAGTAACTTGATAACAAGTTAATTAGTTTTGACTAAATAAACTAAATAAATAAAATAGAAATATTTTATTTAAAACTTTTATCTTCTTTAAACAAAATTATTCGCTAATAACAAAATCAATTCGTTGATCCCCTATTCATTCTGATCCGCGCAAAAACAAAAATAATTGTTATCACCAATTAAAACACGCTCTCCCAAATTTAATCGGTGAAAATAGATATATTAGTTTAAAAACAATAAAAACAATGAGACAAAGTACAATGGAATCTTATCTTAATCAATAATTATGAATATAAATTTTTTTTGGTAATAATAATAATGGCATTATTAGTATGATGTGTAACCAATGAAATGCTTTGTTTCTCTAAGCGCATGCTTTCACTCATTCCCAAAGGGGGTGCATTTAGAAAGGGTTGACTGTACATGGTGGATATGAGAATAAATATTTAATCATGTAAACTTTTTATGGTTTTATTTGAAGCCTGTAAACCTGTATTTTCATTAAATTGGGCTTTTATTTTTTCAGAAGATTTACAATTTTCTTTTCTTCAATTCGTTCTGATGGTCACATTCAAATGTTTAGGGTATCCACTTCTTGGTAACTCTAATGCTATTTCTCTTCTGGAAGTTTTTAATAGTTTTAGTTACAGTTGTTCTTGCCATTCTAAGTGATTTGGGAATATGTGAAATAGTACTACTGCCTTTGTAATAGTCCAATTATCTGTCCACATTCAAATTCTGCTAAATTTATTAATTTTAGTGAAATTTGGAAATTTCAAAAACTTCAAATCGATTTTTTAAAGTAGTAAAATTGTATAAAAACATATGACATAATTTTTCAGAATCTAATCTTTCACATATCAAGATTTCGGGTGTGGTTATTATGTAAGTTTCTGAGAAACTGATTTTTTTTTGGCAAAATATGATTTTTTGGATTATTTTGGTCGAACTTTTTATTTTTTTTTTAACTATTGTTTTCCTAGACGTTATTAAAACTTGAAATTTTGCATAAAAATGCTTGAGAACCTTAATTATGATCAATAAAAATTATTTATACCTTTATTATGTACGTTTTTGCACAATTAATTGTTTTATGGTGACCAAAACTTTTGTCCAGGGAGTGTATAACATTATCCTCTTCTTCTATTAGTAACAAAAATTGACAAATAAACAAAATAAACAGGCTTCTCTCTATAATGAACTTTCCTTTGGTCCCTGATTCATTTTCTTATAATTAATTCCTTTCTCTATAATGAACATCTTAGTAAACACTCTCTATAACAAACAAAGCCTGAAAAATTACATATAGGGATGGAAGGTTCATTATAAAGAGAATGAACTGTATTTTCTTCCTTATTTAAAATAAATTATGATGTTAATGTTTTAATTAATCAATTATCTTCGCAAAGTACCAAGTAAAATTACAGGAAGCTTCCGCATTTTTGTTTAAAGTAAAAAGAAAATTTGATATAACTTTCACAAAGAACAGGTAGAAAAAATAGTATATGTAGAGTAGATGGAAACATACTATTATCTTGTTATTGATTTCCACTACCATCCCTCAACTCATCTAGTTGTTTTCAAAAACTCTATTTTTAAATTAGAATATTTTTTAATGCTCCAAATTTACATACGAATAAAACTAACTCCACTTATATTGAGAACTCATCAGTAAAGAAGTTAATGATGGTAGCAAAAATTATTTGGCAAATATGAAATAGTTTTGCCCATAGAAATTAGGACTAAACTAGCGGCGAAACTTAAAAATTGCCTAAACTGTGGACGAAACTCTTAAACTATGGATGAAACTCTTATATAAACTGTGGGCGAAGCTCTTAAACTATGGGCGAAATTCTTAAATTGTGGTTAAATTGCAAACCTACGAGCAAAATTTTAAATAAAATGGATTTATCGAAAACCGTCCAATTGTATGTCGGACATGTGATCTAGTATTCGTTTTAATAAATTCGATAAGTCGGACGCAGCAATCAATACTCGATAATATAAATAAACTTTTTTATTATTTTACATTTAATTTATTTCATATATGTGATCAATAAATTTTTAATTAATTAATTAATAATCGAGTAATTAAGTAATTTTATATTAATAACTTGGAGCCTTTCTTGAGAGTAGAAGCAGAAAAGTTGATATGAAATTATCCCTTACAAATAATTCGTTGATAAACATTTTCATTTATAATAAAACAAACTAACCCTTTTTTGTTTTGTTTAATATTAATATTAATAAAACATTTGTGGTCGGGAAAATTAAATTAATTATCCTACACAATTTAGGCCATTTTAAGTTCGCCAATTAATTTTCGTGGGCGAAATTAGGCCTAAACCAAAATTGCCTAAATACCTAAACTATGAGTTAGTTTCGGCCACTATCACAAAGAATTGAAAACAAGTGATTTGCTTTTGGTATTTAATGATACGGTTATTATTTGCTTAAATTTAAATTTATTATCTGCAAATTTTACTATGAACAATAAAAAAATTTTTTTATTATTATTATATGATTGGATACATGCCAAGAATGGATTTTTTTTCATCTCCACGAAAACTAGTTTTTGATGTAGCTATGCATGAGGCAAATGATTTAAAAGAGGTTTATCCTCGCCGATCATTATAATGTAATAGTAATAGTAATAGTAATAGGATTTGGTGTTAATCCGTTAACAAACCTGATTTTTTTTTAGATAAATAAATCACAACTTGAAACAATTCATCCTCCAAATTAAATAAAAACTAAATAAATATTTTATTATTTTAATAATATTTGTTATTTTAACGGATTAACTCGTTACCAATCCGGATGAAAAAAAAAGCTTAATATTAACAGATTCTTAACGGGTTTTAATATTAACTATAACGGGTCCATAATAATGACAATAATAACGTTTACCCATTGAAAAGATTTTGCAAGATTCATCTGGAGAAAATTGAAGCTAAAGAGCACATATACCATCATTGTTTGAATAATCTTTTTTATATTGCAGCTCTAAATTGAAAAAAATATATCACTATAGGTGGCCCGTAGCGAAATGGTTCAAAAAATTCAGTATTTTGTAGATTTATCAATATAAATATCAATTTACTTTAATGTATAATGGTAATTGACTGAACAAATTTTAATAGAATAGATATTTCTTGTATTTTTAATTCATTTAGTGAATTCAAATCTTAAATATTATTACAATATTCTACTTATTTTGTGAATTTGACACTATATTTTTTCTAGGTCAACAGCAGAATCCCATAAAATATTTGTCATTTTAACTCTAGAAATATTTTCACATTTTCTGGCCTTTCAAGTTTAACCATAAATTTTCCAATCTGACAGTAGTTTGTAGTAAAAGAATGTTATTTTCTTGTTTAAACTGTTTTGCCAATATTAAGTTATCCTGCAGTAATTAGATTTACTGATCAGAAGTCATGAATCCTTCATTAATAACATGATTAATCGCTTGACAATTCTTTTTTGCCCAAAGGTCTGTCTGTATGACATACATTAATGTGATTCACTGGAAAATGACCGCATCACTAGAAAAAAACCTTTGCATAATTAGTATTTTTGTTTACCAAATATCTGAAAACTTCATTTTGATCATTAAGATTTTTTTCTACACTGTTACCAAATAAAATAATATCAGTTAATTTATTCTTTTTATCCATTTTATTTTTTTATGTATTACTTACCTAATTTTTGATAGTATTATCCATTGACTTTATGGGTAGACTTGCAATTCCATTTTTGTAGCTTAAACAATGTGGTGGTGTTAGTCACGCATGGCATATTATACATTTATCTCATTTTGGCAATGTGTATCTAGATCACATGCATGAACTATGAATTTGTGTATTTGACGTGAAAAATTTTTGTAATGATCTCTCCATCTAATCTTGTTTGTAGAAACCCAATTTTATTAACATCAGATAGCTGTCTTAAAACCTTTTATTATAATAACTCTGTGTCGCCTTTTCTTTGAAGAGTATATAAATCCATAAAAGGAAGGATCATCTCCATAATTCCATTATATATAATCATTAACCACTCGAGTATTTTGATCAATCCAGATTAGCTTCCTAAATCTTGCTCACATAGTTCTGGCATAAAGACCTATCTTTTTATCTTTATATATTCAACTTTGTTTCCAATAGTACACATGTAGAACAGTTCATTGAGCTTGTTGATGAAAGATCGAGCGTGCTTAAGGATTTTATAATGGTCAACGTACATTCTAAAAGCTCTGATTGTTTGATTAGCTGTTACTTGTCTGCTTACATTACATTCCTTAATCTTTGCGACTCTGAAATCGTACGTTGTTTTGACGCATCACTTTCTTCCTCTTCCCAATGCTTTACAAAAAAAAATTATTAACTTATACGTATTAAATAAAAAGAATTCTATCTTTATTTATTGGCGGAAAAGAAGAAGAATAACACTTGCATTAAAAGAAACAAACATATTAAACGACCATAAGTATTTCAATCTTCTGTTGACGGTATGTGTGTTGAAGATTGCCATCGTGAAGTTGATTTATATTGGTGAAATCTTTACAACTTGGCCAAGATCATATATTGAAATGCATTGAAATACACAAAGCCATTTGTATAATCTTATTTGTATTGATCTCTCCAATAAAAACTCAAAGTTGGAGATCTTCATATTTTATAATGGAATCTTTATAAACATTCAGTTGGTTGGTTGTAGAGTCCGTGTAACTGAATACAAAAATTTGATTGAACCCCGAAAATTTTGTATTTTGTGTCTGCCCCATCATATCCATTTGTTTTTTATGTGGTGTGATGCTATTTTTTTTTGAAAATAATAAATAAAACAATTATTAAATTAAAATATTTCCAAAAGTTGATTTTTAATAAAACACAAATTAAAATAAATCTATTATTAAAAAACTCCCCAAATTGTCTCAGGAATTAATTTACCCTTTATAATGTGTGTAGAATAGAATGAATGAATGAATGTGTAAATGAAAATGAATGTGTATGATGATGCTAAAACGCGTGGTTTGATACTTGTATCAGTGGGTGTCGCAATATGTTGCAATGTGATGGAGTGTATACTTATTTGTACGAGTTTTGAATATAAGTTTGAATGTGTGTAATATTATTTATAATGAAATAATATAATGAATGTATAATATAAAATAAAATGATGTATTATCATCCCAAACATTATTTATTTTTATCAGATCATTTGTATTACTTTGTTCCATGCAAAATCTTTCGGCTCATACCTTTAAAGAAGGAAAATATTTGTTGATTTATTCCAGGATTTTCACCGCAGTGAATTAATCAAATTTAAACTTTCAGACATTAATTAATTTAATATATACTAACTATTACTACACTTTTATAATAATTATAATTAGTAGTATGTATCACACACATAATCTATATTTGCTTTGTACTTCAGCAATTTTTTTCTTTTTTTTTTTTTTCAACTAAAAAAAAAAAAGTTTCATATTTTATCATTTACTATTATATAACTATTATATTATAATATACACAATAATAAAATATTTATTGACTTACTATTTCCATACACAAAACTTCACTTTATTTTTCTTCCTTCATCCGTAAAAACAAAGATGCCCTTTTCTTGCCTTCATTATACAACCGAATTATAAATCTATATATATATAATATTATAACCTTCATCATCTCACCTTCACCTTCCTTCATTTCCACATAATAATATTACTATATACATACATACATACATATTATATTATATAACAATAAATATATTATTATAGTCCTTCAGACTCGCACATTTCTTCTTTCTTGAAATATTGTACGGTCGAAAAAAGTTTTATAAACATCATTTTACAAATTAATAAATTCTTTATTTAAAAAAACTAAAAATAAAAAAATCTTTTCTTTGCTTTTTTTATAAATAATAATAATAATAATAATAATAATATATATAAATATATATATATAAAGAAAAATATTTATTATTTATAAATATAAATATAATATAGTAATAATAATAATAAAATATTCCATCCGAGTATTCTTCTCAAGTGTAAAAATTGTACAAAACTCTTGTTCATAATTTTTTTCTTTAGACTTTTTTTTATTATATTTGAAAAGCATTTTATTTTATTTTTCTTTTAGACATATTTTCTTTATCTTCTCTTTTTTTTTTAATTCTAATTCTTAATCTCTTCTCTTCTTTGTTCATTATTATATAATTTCCCTTTTTTTCTTTTTATTATTTTTTTTTCTTTTATATTATTTTTTCTTCTTTATAAAATATATAATATAGTATTTATATATATATATAAACAACTTAATTTAAATCCTTTAAAGAAAACCATTTGAAAAGATGTTACCACGTATTATGGACGAACAAGCGTCCAAAAGTAAAGCAGATTTAATACAACCAAAAGCTAACAATAAACAGCAAGGACAGGTTAGAGATTTTTTTTGTTGATCTATATTTATTTATTTATTTTTTGATTTGATTTATTCATGTATTGTTCATCAATTCATTAATTAATTATTATTCTTGATTTATATTATCTGTTTCTAGCAATTGGCGGCTTTATTAAGAGAAAAATTAGATTATGATTATGATCTTTTTACTGGTCAACGTCAAGATATGAATCGTCCAAATAGTGCTCCTCCAACTCAAGTAACTGATCAACCAGGTCGTTTTGATCCTGAACTCGAATCTGCTTCTTCATCCGATCCACGTCTGGACCCTGAATATCCGCATTATTATTATGCAAATTCTCGTCTTGATCCAAGATTACCTCCCCCTTTATATCAACCTGGCCAATCATGGCAACAATTATGGACTGGTAGTAATTTAGGTGTGGGTGGTAGTAATGCTGCGTCTCCTACTGCTGCTAATCCTCCAACTACAAATGCTGGTTTAAATTCAAAACCAAATGGTTTAAATAATCCTTCTCAATCTACAAAACCAAAAATATTAGAAAAATTTAGAGGCATGGATTCTGATGATGAATTTTTACGTGATCATCCATTGGATCAAAGTTTAGAACCTGAAACTTCACATCATCATCACCACTCTTCAAATTTAGTAGATGATTACCATCATCTCCATCATCAACAACAGCTCCACCATCAACATCTTCATAATAATGATCCAACTAATAATCAATATGAAAACTTCGTTACTCAAGGCACCAGCAGTGCTGCGTCACTTTGGCGTAATGAATTAAAATCTCCTCCTCTTCCAACACAAGGAATAATTAATGATCCAAATGCGAATAAAAGAAAAAATTTAGTGGAAATGATTCAAGCGGTTAGTACTACTATTACTATTACTAATTATTATTATTATTATTATTATATTAGGCCTAGTTAGAACTATATTAATTAACCGATAATATTTTATTAATTAAATCATCCAAAATAAACAAATAAATAATCATTTTATTTTATTTCATTTTTCCAATACTAATAATAATTAGGATTTCCCAAGAACTCCGTCACCGATGTATGCATTACAACAAGCTCAGCGTCAAAGACAAGCTGCTGCTCTAGCTGAAGCAAATGCAAATGCAAATGCTGTTGCTGCTGCCATGGATTTAACAGACGAGTTTGATATAAATGAATTACGACATTTAAGTTTAGATGATCAACTTAATCATTCATCTCACCATTATTCAAATGCTCCTTTACGTGGTGGAGGTGGTCCAGATGACGACGAACATCTTAAATCGGTGGTAAGCGCTGCTTTGGAAGGTGAAGATTTTGACCATAGATTGACTGGTCCTTTTGGAAGAGGAAACAATTCACCACCTCCATTTCGTCCAAAATTCTCACCGCCACCTCGTGCGTCATCGACTCCACCTACTCAGTCTCATTTCCGTCAACACAGTTTAAATTTTTCACAGGAGTTTCATGGTGATTTAACACACGGTGATCTACTTTATAATATGAAAAATAATATGGATGGATCTGTAAGTTTATATATTTTGTATATTATATATGCGCATATACATCGTTTGTGTACGAGCTTTAGTTTGTGTCTGTGTGTAATGTGCATATATTTATTTACATACACGTTTGATTGATTAATAGGATGAATATGAAGCACTACAGAGTGCATATCGTCAACAGCAAGCATTAAAACAACAACGTCTAAAGATGCATCAAGCTCAATATAATTCATTATTTAATGATAATTCAACAACCGGATATTCTTCTCAATATGGATTTGGTAAATATAATAATAAATTTATTATAAAAATAAAATAGTAATTATTTATTATTACTTTAAATAAAATTCACGAGTTTAATCAATTAACGAATACTAACAATATTATTTTATTAATAACACACAAATGAAGATCCTTACTCATCAATATCAATGTGGGATTCTCGTGAAGATAATTTACTTAACAGGAATATACTTTCAAATGACTCCCCTTATGGCCGTACCACTTCATTAAGTGGCCTAAGTTCAACACGTAGTTCTGTCGATTATCAGAAATCGCTACAACAGCAACAACTTGGTGCAATTGGTGTAGGCCGCTCAGAACAATTACTACCATCTGATTATGCACTTTCAAAAACCAGTGGCCAGTACTATGGATCATCTAGTCTTAGCAATTCTAGTTTGGGTTCACTTAGTGGTGGCAGTGGAGGTCCAGTACTTACCCGCGCTTCACTCGCTGAAAAAAATTTACGTCTACAATCACAACAATTATTATATCAACAACAGCAATTAAAACAGCAGCAACAAATCATGCTTGCCCGTGAACAATTACTAAGACATCATCATTCAGCTGAGAATTTGTCCTATTTAAGTTATAATAGTCGTCGTAGCCATGATTTAAGTTCTAGCGTTTCTGATCCCGGCCATGGTATGCGAAGTCAATTATTGGAAGAATTTAGGAATAATAAAAATAAAAAATACGAGTTAAGGGTTAGTATTATTAATAAAAAGAGATATATAAATGTATAATTACATCCATAAGTGCATATGTAGATAGATATATAATTGGTTAAATTTTTTTTCTTTTCTTTTTTTTAGGATATTGTAGGAAATATTGTAGAATTTAGTGGTGATCAACATGGATCAAGGTTTATTCAACAAAAATTAGAAACAGCCAACAGCGAAGAAAAACAATTAGTTTTCGATGAGATACTTCCAAACGCATTACAATTAATGACAGATGTATTTGGTAATTATGTAATTCAGAAATTCTTTGAACACGGTAATCAAATGCAAAAAACTATTTTGGCAAAACAAATGGAAGGACATGTACTATCTCTAGCATTACAAATGTACGGTTGTCGTGTTGTACAAAAGGTAATAAATACTTGGAGAAAAAATATTATTTAATCAATTATTTTTTTTAATCACCTTTATTAATTTCATTTGTTTTTTTTTATTTATTCAACACATAAGGCTCTTGAACACGTTTTAACTGAACAACAAGCCACGTTAGTTAAGGAACTTGATGGAAATGTTCTCAAATGTGTTAAAGACCAAAATGGAAATCATGTGATCCAAAAAGCTATTGAGCGAGTTCCAGCTGAACATATTCAATTTATAATCAATGCTTTCCATGGACAAGTATTTACTCTTGCCACCCATCCATATGGTTGTCGAGTAATTCAACGAATGTTTGAACATTGTACGGATGAACAGACGGTGAGTAGCAACAGTAAGATAAATTATGAAAAAATTTTTATTCTTCCTTTAAATTAGACTACTAAAAATTCATTAATTCACTCATCAATTAGAAGCCACTGTTAGAGGAACTTCATAGGTACACGCCAAATTTAGTTCAAGATCAATACGGGAATTATGTAATCCAACATGTGTTGGAACGTGGTAAAGCTGCAGACAAATCGATGGTTGTAGCAAAAGTTCGTGGAAATGTTTTACAAATGTCCAAGCATAAATTTGCCAGTAATGTTGTTGAGAAATGTGTTGCTTATGGCAGTAAAAGGGATCGTCAATTATTAATTGAAGAAGTTATCATGACTAAACCCGATGGGTTAGTATTTATATTATTTACATTTTGAAAAAAGTGTTGCACTGAAATAACATCATTTCCGTTCATTCATATTCATTTAATATCTTTATATTTATTCATTTATTGATTATTAGAACGTCACCATTAATTTCAATGATGAAGGATCAATATGCAAATTATGTAGTTCAAAAAATGCTTGATGTGGTGGACGGTGACCAAAGAGATTTACTCGTGGCAAAGATTAAACCACATTTACAATCTTTGAAGAAATACACATACGGAAAACATCTTATTTCAAGTATGTTTAAAGGTTTTTACAAAAAGTTTTTTTTTCTCTGAATTGTTTGATTTGTTGATTGACTATTTATTAAACAATTCGTATTTTTCATCCTCTTAATAATAATAGAGGTTGAAAAACTTATGATACTTACAGAAAATCAAAAAAATCAAAATGGTACACTTACAAACAACATCACAAATTCCACTGAAAATCTTTTAGCTGGAAATAATTTGACACCATCATCAGGTGGTTCTTCAATAAATTCCGATATTAATGACGTCAATAATAATTTGGAATCATCTTAAAAAAATTATTTTATTTTAATTTAAATATTTAAATATATATATATAATAATGTTAATTGTAACTTGTTGTTTATAATAATTTTGTCAGTTTTATATATTTTTTTTTGTTAATATATATATATATTCCTTTATTTTTTTTTTTTACATAAGAAAAAAAATTTTATATATATTTTTTTTGGACTAATTAATTAATTGATATTATATATAAATTAATAATATCATTTCTTATATTATTTTATATAATTGTTTTGATTAAAAAATGTTTTATTTAATAATAATAATAATATAATAATGTAATGGATTAGATTGAATTGAATTCATCGATTCTAAAAAAATTTATATATATATATACACTATATATTTGTTAGATTTTAAATTCCTTTATTTTTATTTTAAATTTTTTTCTGTATATTTATAAATTTTTTTTAAAAAAAGATTTTTTAATGCATATTATTTTTTTCCTCTTTTTTCTTTTTTATATATATCTTTTTTAAAAATAAAATTATTTACTTGATAAATAAATAAATTAATAAAACTTTTTTATATATTTTAAAAAAAATAACTTGGACATCTATGAAATGATTCTAATCAATGGTAATAATAATATGCAATTAAAATAAAGCAGTAAAACTACCACCACATCTCTGCCACTATGCATGAGTTTCAAGAGCCTCCTCGTATCCATGTTCTTCTGAATGGAGCTTATACTGTTTATCATTGCTCCCTCTCGCTATTTTGCTTTTGCTCTTTTGAGATTTGATGAAATGAATGATTCCCAAGCTTATGTTTTTTCTGATCGCAAGAGCTGAAAGTGCTGTCTTCTTGGAGGGGTTATAATTGCTTATCATATATATATTAACTTGTAAATAATAAATAAACACGTGTCCTAGTAATAAAATATACGATGTTTTAAAAATTAACTACAAATAAAACAACCTTTAAACTTTTAAAAATAAATAAATAAATGCTGTATATAGTAGGACTCAGCAATTAGCAAAGAATTAATGCATATATCTCTACACGACATCTTTATCATCTATCAAATCCTCCTCTTTGTCATCAACATCATCAACACCTAAAATGTCATAATCTTCATCGTAAATATACATTCTATCATCACCAATGTCAATATCATGATCATTATTACCTTGCAAACATTCAATCAATATCAATGGCAACCATTGCCACGTTATATCTCTCTACTTAATTACTTATTATAATTTAATGCAGCAAGTATTATGACACAGTTTGATCGTTTTTTAAAAATATTCTAACTTTAGGAAAGAAATTTTTTTTTGTTTTGTGTCGATAATCAGGTCAAAATTAATACACAATGCACAATATTTCCCTTATAAGAAGTTTTTATTGATTTTGTATTTCCTTAATTGAAGGACGGAAAAACATACCTTATTTTGCGCAATATGCTCATGTAACGTAGATTATAACTTCATTGAAAACACTGGCTAGTATGTTGTGAGCCTGTCAATAGCTTTGTAAATTTCCAGCATAATTTGTGGCCTGGAGCAGGATCCCAGGCAATTATAATCGTCAACAATATGTGAGAATGGACAAAACTTCACACCACAATTAAAAAATATAAAGTTTCCTATGACATAACAAAAAATTTTTGTAGATGATATTTACGAGTTTTAAATGCAGTCGAATATAAATTAACCATATTTATATTGATAAATGCTCAGTTGCCTAGACAGTAAATGAGAATAATTTATATTCACTTTTGGAATAAAAATCATTAGTATGAAGATTTATATAGGCAATGCAAGAAACATCTGAATAAGATAATTTCCCATGTTAGAATGATAATGTGAAGCTAGAGATCGAACAAGAATTAATTAAAGCAAAAATAAAATCTCCATTAATTGCTGGATAAATGAATGGGATATTTGCGATGGAAGTGACTGGCATGGATTGCAAATTTACATTAAACTCTTGTCAGAACTATTCAGATTTTGTATATTAATATACATGTGGTCAAAATTATTAAATTGCGTCAGGCGCGTCACCAATCATAAATTTGACGCGTTGACGCAAGACGCAATTCGTGACGCAAGACGAAATTCGTGACGCAAGACGCAAAGACGAAAAAAATACGCATTTGGAAATCTTGATTGCAAAAAATGGTTGGACACTTGTGTAAAACTCTTAACATTACTATTATTAATCACTATTTGATTATGCAATTTTTCAGGTTTCTAGCCATTTTGAATAAAAAAAAATATTAGTACTATGGAGAGAGAATCTTTATTTCATACAATTTTTTTCGGAAGTTGCAATAGATAGAAGTATTACAATAAAGAAATAAATTTTCTGTATTTTGAATGAGTTTTTTTACGCCACTGGTATTTTTAATCTATTAGATCTTTCCACGGCTCTAAATTATAATGTATATACTACCTTTCATGGAAATTTAATGCCTATATCTTTGAAAACGGAGGAGGAGTTGTGTTTTGAAAACAATATATTTAATATGTTCATTATGTAAATTTCGGAAATCCTGTAAGTGATATGCAGATTACAAAAAAAAATCACATATAACCAATCAATATATGACATTAATTAGTTTGATTTTCTTAGAATGTCGCACACCCAATAGGTCATGTACTGGTTATTGTAGTGGGAGAATGATAACATATTCTAATTAAGTAGAATCAGACAAATATGTCAAATACTAGCAAATAGTTCTGGTTGTGGGTTAATAAAAGTATGTTAATGTTTATTCAGATGGTCGAGACTGATGAATATACTTTTATTAATTTTAATTGTTTGATTATGAGAACCATTTAAATTTTTTTTTTTAATCTGTTATTTCACAATTTTTATTTTCCAATTGTAGTTCCATTTTCAATATTTGATTATTATTATTAAGGTTCATAATAACTATAGATTGTTGTTGAACGTTCAATACACTTGTTGTTTTTGCTCTTTGAAGTTACTTCAAATATCAGATTCATTATCATCTTATCAAAGACTTTTATTTTTTTTTCTAAAATTAAAAAAAATTCTCATAAAATTATAATGAAAATCACTTTAAAAAACTCTCAATAGCCAATCAAATTTTGAGATGTAACCATTTCCATTTAGGGTATAATCCCTGACTGTAATACACATAGATCTTTTTTTCAATTAAAAAAAATATATATATGATCCAAAACAATTAATTCTTGTCACTTCAGTCAAATTGTCAATATGTTTCATGAAGGCAAGTATATGATTTTATTTTCATGCTATTAGTCACACACATCCCTACTAGCATATGGCCAATACTTCCTGCATTAGATGCTTGGCACTAATCTCTAGGAATTTCCTTTTGCATGCGTTGCTTAAGGCATTACCCTGCATGTTAATGTCCAGGTTGTGTTGTATATACTTACTGGTATATGGCCATTACTTCCTATGCCAGATATTTGGAAGCAGTCTCTAGGAATTTCCTTTTGCATGCATTGCTTAAGGCCTTACTCTACATGCTGTTTTCCAGTATATCGTTGACTACATGTTTCTTCTGTCAGTTTGTCATGTGTAGAGACTTTCATATGTTTTGCAACTAATTATACCTCTTATCTTTACCAAGATGTTTGAATCAATAGTGAATGATTATCTTCAAAGTACACCATACAAGGAGTGGTTGATCATTGTCATCTTGCAATATACAGCATCAAAATCTGAATTATCTAGAGATACAATTGACATCCTCAAAACTGATTCATATTCAGTACTATGGAGTTTGTGCAAAAGATGCAATACACAAGTGTATGCCAAAAACAAGGCGAATAAAATTTTATCAAACCATGATAAATCATTTTCTTCAGATGATGTGAAACATTTTATTGATGAAGTTCAATTAAAAAATGAAAGAAAGGAATTCAATATAGCAGTATGTCAAAATGTAACATCAGCAAACACATTACAAACATTAAAGGTGAGTTTGAAACAAACTTAGGAATAAAACATCACAATAGTCTTACTGACAATTCTATAAGGAACATTGTGTGGCCAAAATAGAAATCGAGGATATACGCAATGTGGATGTAAATGAAGTCACTGTATCTACTGGTAATACAATCAAACTCATTTTACATTATGTATTGAAATGTGTATTTAACCTTTTCTTTATGGTGTGGAATTAATAGCTTTGAAGCAGAAGTCACATCCCTCTCAAAACTACAATTGATTTGAGTGATCAATCGGAATCTGATAGTGGATTGTATTATGAGGACTTGGTGGAGAGAGTCCAGGAAGAAGTAGATATATTTAGTGCTCAGAGAATTGAGGTAATCCTAGTTTCCACTATACCGTTAATGTGTTTTTATGTCATTTATTGGAACTAAGAGTGAGTTGGGTCAGCTACTGGAAAGTTTAGAGACAAAATCGCACTTGGAAAATTATAACATTATTTGTCTTTTCAATGTTGAATTTTCTTACATGAAACAACTCTTTAAAAAATTACCAATGGATCAGATGTGCATGATAAAGAATAAATGGTCAGAGGTAAATTTATCTTTTGTACTTAGACGAGAGTTATGAACATTGAATTGATAAAAAAAAAATTCTTTTAATAACAATGAGGCTGAAGAATTTATTAGTAAAAAAGAGATCAAAGAATGTTGGAATGGGTGCTCATTAAAGAAACGGGTGGACAATAACCACCAAATCATCAAAGAAAATGGAAATGAAGATACTTTTTATGTTGATCTTAATGCACTTATAGCATCATTTACAAAATAACAATTTGACAAATATGAGCACCATATGAGCACCAAAAAACTTATGAATTGTTTTGGTGTCAGGATTTCTATACACAGATGTAAGTTTGTGATAGATTTCTTTTATATTGTTATGACTGCTAAATGAAATAGTTGAATTTTCTTATTCCAGGGCCCTTCAATTGTTGCGTAGGCATAGTGCTTTGTTAGATAGTAGTTCTAGCAAATATCAGTATTGAGATGTATAGTGACCCGGCCTCTGATGTCAGGATTACCAACTGCTTCACCATCCAAGCCCAAGTAAAATCAAAATGAATAATTTTGCGTTGAACAAATTCATAAAGCCAAAATGTATTTTATGGCATTAAAAGGTACAATAGTTGTTTCATGGACTACTAGCTGGATGCAAAACTAATTTTTATCAATAAAGCATATCAGAAGTAGTCGCAATCTTTATATAATGATAATAAACTGTAAAAATTATAAAGATTTGTGCGTTTTTATTTTATTAAAACATCGATTTTTGCCTGATATGGTGGATTATGTGAAATGTGTGCATCAAAAAATATATACTAACCACGATTAGTATGCTAACTTGACTAAATCTGATTTTTTGACTGATCAATTTTGTCATAGTTGATTACAAATTGTGATTGCTCTATAATCTAAACTACATCAGTGAATAAGCCAGTCATTCTGTTGATTAGTGTATGAGCAAGTGTCCCTATACTTTTGATCAGGAGGTGTATTTGGATTTAAATGTGAAATATCAAATGAATTAGAACTTTCAGATTATCATAATTATCATCCAATTCTGTTGTAAGATCATAAACAAACAAACAAAATATTATTAATTATTGCAATCAATCCAATGATAATATAAAATACATACAATCAACATTAGCATCAAATTCAACTTCTATACTATTATTTGTTCTTGATTCAATTCTTTTTTGTTTCACTTCTAAATGTGAATTTACTGATTCCAATTTATCTGGTTTAATAGTTGCAAAGTTTTCACAATTAATTAGGTGTTTGCCAATAGATGGAACAGTATTAGAAATTTTTAATTGTGTAGCATTATGCAAAGACCATTCCCACCCTTTTTATCTTTGCAGATAGCTAAACAATTACTTTTATTAACCATTATCTTTACAACATACAGTGTGTTTCAAAAAAAAAAAAAAAAACTGAAAATTATTTTTGTTGGAAAATCTTTGTAACTTTACTAAAAAACAACCCAACTTGTTTCAAATAAAATTTATACAGAGATTTGCTTTTTAATGTTATTTTAATCATCTTCTAACCGAATCTGATGTTTATTTTTTGAGTTTAAAATGCACAATAGGGTTGAATTTTACTGGTTTTTTTTTTCAATTACATTATTAGAATACATCTACCTGACATATTACGAGCATTTTATTCTCAAATATCTATTTCAATATTTAATAAGTTGAACGAAATAGGTGATTTGGCTCATAGAAGAGTTAATTGTTGGAGAAATGGGTTCACAGTTGTGTTCACGTGATTTACTACAATTTATCTACTGGTTTTTCAATGTATAGTGACCCGGCCTCTGATGTCAGGATTACCAACTGCTTCACCATCCAAGCCCAAGTAAAATCAAAATGAATAATTTTGCGTTGAACAAATTCATAAAGCCAAAATGTATTTTATGGCATTAAAAGGTACAATAGTTGTTTCATGGACTACTAGCTGGATGCAATCTAATTTTTATCAATAAAACATATCAGAAATAATCACAACCTTTATATAATGATAATAAGCTAGTAAAAGTTATAAAGGTTGAATTTTTATTTTATTAAAACTGATTTTTGCCTGATATGGTGGATTATGTGAAATGTGTGCATCAAAAATATATGTTATCTGACCATGATTAGTATGCCAACAGCATAGTGGACATTTGATTTCATTGGCTAAATTTTGTGACGATCACCCTTCCAGATATCACGCAACAATTAAATTTTATTGGCCTGAAAATCATTATGCAAATTTGAAAACAAAGTATTAATATTAATATCGGAGGGAACGATAAATAAAATGTTTATAAAAAAATTAATATAGTATTTCTTTATTGAATGTTTTTAATACATAGGCTTGGTTTTTCATTATACAGTCTAATA